CAAAAAAAAAAAAAAAAAAAAAGATATTGTTCTTGTTTATTTTACTGTTTGTAATGATATTGTGAATTGAATTATCTTCTAATTTCATTTCTGGATTGTGCAATGCCATCATACAGAAATACATTAAATACATTAATGTGCTGATCTTGTACTCTGCAACTTTATTGAATTCCTTTATTAGCTCTAATAAGTTTTGAGGTGTATTCTTTAGAATTTCTTCATTTCTATTTGGTTTGCTTTTCATTAATTAATTATAAGTAGTTACTTTGGTACAATGTGATTAGAATTCCCTATACAGAGCACAATATCATATCTTCTGCAAATAGTTATTTCCTTTCTTTCCAAATATGAATGCTTTTTAATTTTATTTTCTTATCCTATTGCTCTGGGTAGAATCTCCAGCACAAGGTTAAACAGAAGTAGTAGGCATAGATGTCTTTATCTTATTCCTGATCTTAGAAGGAATGTTCTTATTATTTCACAATTAAGAATGATATCAGCTATGGGCTTTCATAGGCTTTCATAGACTCATTAAAAGAGCCATTATAAATCCAGTTTTTAAGATTGTTTTATCATGAAATAGAACTGAATTTTTTCAAGTGATTTATGTTCATTAGTGAATATGCAGATTTTGTGTTTTAATCCTGCTGATGCAGTTTATTATATTAATTCATGTTCAGATGTTCTACTAATGTTTTCCTGTGATAAACTCCCTTGTATTCTGCATAATGTTTTTATGTTGTTGGATTTGATTTCCTAATATGTTGTTGAGGATCTTCGCATTCATACACTTAAGATATATTGAGCTATCATTTCTTTCTTGCAATCTCTGGTTTTGGTATCAAGGTAATACTGGCCACATGGAATGAATTGGGAAATGTTCTTTCTTCTATATTTTGAGTTTGTGTTGTTCTTTCATGGTTGTTAGTCAGTGGTTTCCTCTTAACGATATCTCGGTGTTTTGGTGTGTTATGCAATGTTGATTTTATTCCCAGGTGGGTACTGCAGTGTAAATTCCCTGTAGTTTCTTCAGCTATGATTAGTGAGACTGAGCATCGCTCATACCATGTTGGAGTCAGAAAAACCCACTATCTCTTTGGGTCTTAGAAGGCAGCATGTGCAGGGTATTCCTAGTGTATTTATTCCTACAGTGGGGATGGTGGCCTCTGCCAGGTGATGGTGGTTTTCTTAGGCACTGTTCATATTGACAGTGTTCCTTCAAAAGGTCTCTAGAGCTGGCCACTCCACTACAGATGAGTGTCCAGAAATATTTGCCATCTGATTACACATTGGTATGGGCCCTACTTTGTGACACAAACACTCAGTCTTATCAGGAATGCACAGTCAGGCACCATGTGAGGTGACTGATATGGAGGATCTGTACAGGTGCAATAGCAGCAAACATTGTATTAATCCTCTTTGGTGCTATTGTGCCTGTGCCCCCCACCCAAGAGTGGGACCTCATGCCCTCACTAGCTGTGCATACCTGGTGAAGGGGAAACTCTAGGAGTTTTTATCCCTGATTCTGTTATAGTACTGGGAATTGAGCAGCAGTGGGTTACAGTTGTACCTGAGCAATATTCCTTTGAGGTGTTTACAAGAGTCTAACGAGGTTAGCACCAGGCAAAGCTTCTGTCTGAATGTTTAGGTTGTGTGTCTGGGGCAGGACACAGCCCAGCTGGTATTGTTTGATGCTGCTCCAGCAGGCCTGTGTGAGTGGGGAGCAGTGGAACCTCAGAGTTTTTCTTTGGCTTCACAGTGGCAGATGTCCTGCTACCTACAGAAACCACATGTGAGCAACCGTGCCCTCAGCCTCAGAGGCCAGGCTCCCCAATCCTATCCCCTGGTTCTTAAAAGGATGACACATTCTATTCAACTTTTCTGAAAATGTTTTCATCTGGTTTTGATATCTGTGTTATGTGGGCTTTGTAGTATTCCCTATGCTTCTAGACTCTAAAAAATATTGAGTAGCCTTGAGTTAATTTCTTTAACATCTGGTAGAATTGAATTCATCTAGCCAGATGTTTTATGTTTTGGAAAATCATTATTTATTTGATTTTTTAATATGCATAAAACTTGAAATTGTCTATTTCTTATAGGAGTTTTGGCAGATTATGTCTTTTAAGGAATGGATCATCAGGTTATAAGGTAAAGTAGATGAACTCACATAGAATCTGAAGATTGCAAGAATCAGGCCGGGGAAGTAGCTTAGAGGTGCCACGCCTATCTGACAAGCACAAGGTTCTGAGTTCAATCCCTGGTACAAAAAAACAAAAACAAAAACAAAAACAAACCAAGAATCCTCTGTAATCAGTAAGACAACAAGTTAAAAGAGTAATAAATATACAAGTATGATTTAATTATAAATAATTTAATGTAGCTGACATTTGCAACAATGTTGCTTGATAATAGCAGAAAATATATTATTTTAAAATCCAAATAGAACACAAAACCAATTATTTTTATTTTGTATTTTAATTTAATCTCATTTAATAAAAATATGCTCTGTATGTATTAAATGTATTGAGACTTTATATTGACTCGGAATTTTCTCTGTCATGCTCTGAAAATTCTCCAAATACTAAGAATAACACACACACACACACACACACACACACACACACACACACACATACCTCTAAATTACTCATGACTAAAATAACAAACCACAGGTGAAATTAGAAATAATTTTAAGTAAATAAGAACATTATAAAAATGTATAGGGGAAAAAATAAAGGAGTACTAGAGAAATGATTAGCTTTAAATATTTTAAACAAAAGGCAAGGTCTAAAATCATAAACCACAGAAAGAATGAGTTAACCTAAAACTAGTAGATGAGAAAGTAATAAACATGAGTGAAATTAGTGAAATAAAAAATATAGTCAATAAAATCAAAAGCTACATTTAAAACCATCAATAGAATTGTCAACATTCTAATCTGGGAAAATACTTAGCAAAAACTACAAATCAATAAGGGAATATTATAAATTGTTTTATAAAAATATTTATATGAAATAGGCAGATACTTTCCACAAAACAATTTATTACAATTTAACAAAACTAACCAAAGAAGCAGTAGAAATCTTTAAAAAGTTCTATTTAAACTGCTAAAACAGAATTCCTAAAAGATATATTTTCCTAAAGAAAATGCAGACACGTCTTTGTTGTTAAATTTCCTCAAACTCAAAAAATTATTCCAGTCATCCACAAACTGTGGTAGGAATAGAAGATAA